TATATTAAAGCGTGTATGTGGGATCAGAAGATAACCTTCAGGAACTGGTTCTCTCCTTCCATCACAGATTAAACTCAAATAGTCAGGCTTCATCAGCAAATACTTTTACCAGCTGAGCCATCTTGCCCACTCTTAGACAGACACTATGTGAATACCAGGAATATGTTTATAGTAGCCTAAGTAAAGACTCTTCTAACTCCTTCTTATTTCTGATCCAAATCATTAGGCAAAATGATAAAGCAGAATATTTATGGGAACTAAGCCTAAATCTAATCAAGAGTATACATTGCATAACAATAAAGACATACTCAGAACATAAGGGAGCAACGCTTGTTATTTCACTTCTAAAAGAAATATCACAACCTCCTTTAAATTCATGGCTGTTTTAAGAGGAGAAATAAAGTACAGTTCTCCATTAGTAACATAGCTTTTAGCTCCAGGATCCTTGAGGATTTAAAAATCCTCCAGTGAGGGCTAGAGAGATGGCTCAGTGGTTAAGAGCACTGGCTACCCTTGCAGAGGATCTGCAATTCCCAACACCCACATGCTGGCTGACAGTTGTCCATAACCCCAGTCCCAGGGGATCTGACATCATATTCTGGCCTCCATGAGCAATGCACCACATGGGTGCACTTATACACATGCAGGCAATACACTCATACATATAAAACTAAATATTTTAAAAATCCTCCAATGCTCAAGGACCTTATATAAAATGGCACAGGATCTCTTCTCTCTTCTCTCTTCTCTCTTCTCTCTTCTCTCTCTCTCTCTCTCAGCCAAAGTGATCCCATCAGAAGATGATTCTGGCCCCAATTCTGCCTCTTCCTGGTCTGAGAATGTACATCTTCCCATATACTTTTTTTTTGTTTTCGGAGGAATTCACTAATGTGTCACAGTAACTGAATGCAAGCATATATTCTTTTTTTTATTTTTTATTTATTTTTATTTTATGTGTATGACTGTATTGCCTGCATGTATGTAGGTGCACCTGTGTCATGCAATGACTGAGGAGTTCAAAAGAGGGTGTCAGATCCCTTGGAAATGGAGTTACAGACTGTTATACGTTGCCATGTAGGTAGAGGAATTGAACCCTGGTCCTCTGCAAGAGTAGTCAGTGCTCTTAAATGCTGATTAGCCCTTGCAAGCATATATTCTTAATATTTAAAATTTAAGAAACTGATGATATGAATGCAGCATCATGTGTATTATTGTAAACAACAAAATAAATAATTTTGGTAGTTAAAAGTTAAAATCGCCCAAAAACATCCTCACAAAAACACCCCAAACAATGCTTACCTAAATACCTAGGCACTCTATGTCCCAGCTGGCACAAAAAATTAGCTATCATAGTACAGATAATAAGGTGATATTAATCTGAACTATACTGGTTTAGGTTGACAAGTTAATTCCCACAGAAATCACTAAAATAAATTAAAAATAAAGAAACAGGAGCTGGAGAGATGGCTCAGTGGTTAAGAGTGCTAGCTGCTCTTGCAAAGGACCCAGGTACAATTCCCATCACCTACATGGCGCCTAACAACCATCTATAACTCCATTCCAAGGGAATCTGACACCTTATTCTGACCTTCGAAGGCATTGCATGACACAGATGCACTTACATATATGCAACATACTCATACACATAAAGTTAAAACGCTGACTAAAATATTAAAAAATAAAAACAAAGAAACCATATAACAATGTTAAAAGGTACAGAAAACACATTTCACAAAAAACCAATACTCTTCATTTTTAAACACTCAAACCAGGAACAGAAAACAACTTCATTAACCAGTAAAGGTCACTGATGGAGACCCTACTCTTAACTTAGCACATAATAGTGACTGAAATATTTCCCCTATGTTGGGAACAAGACAATGGTATCTTGCCACTTGTATTCAACACTGTACTGGAGGATCGAATAAGAACAGTTACACAACTAAAAGGAAAACTAGGGCATTCAGACCTTAAAATAAAAAAAAAGTGAAATAAATTTAAAAAATCTATCTCTACTTGCAGATAACAAACAAGCTTTAGCAAGGCTGAGGATTCAAGATCCATAAAGAAATATTCCTACAAACTAGCAAGGAATAATTTGAAAATAAAGTTAAGCAAAAAGTCCATTTGCAATAGCACCAAGAAAAAATAAAACATTTATAGATAAACGTAACAAAAGAAGTCCACGGTATGCACTAAAAGTTACAATATTGGTAAATGAAACCAAATAAGACCCAGATGAATGAAAATGCATTGATGTTCATAGATTTATTACAAGAATTAATATTGTTAGGTTCTCAATTTGTGGATGTAACTCAGTAATAGAGTGCTTGGGTTCAATCGTCAGCACCAAAAAAAAAAAAAAGTAAAATCCAATGAAGAAATGAAGAAGTCACCTTTTCCAGAGAAACTTCTCACCAGCAGAAGTAATTGTTCTCTTCTGTATGGTACACCTACACCTTGCACACTCTTTCACATTAAATTGTATTTCATTATTTACCATAGGTCAAGGGCTGTATCTTATTTATGATTTAATGTTTAATGCTAAATGGCTACTGAAAAGTAATGCTATGTACAAAGCAGAATTATCACAAAGTGGTCCTTCTGCAGAGAAATAAACAATAATGATGAAGAACTGACTGAAATAAAAAATGAAGTATTAAATTATCATTCATTTATGGGCATAAGTTAATAAAGAAATAATTAATAATAAAAAAAGAATGTTCCTTAGTTTCTTTTAT